TTATTTTCCTGTTTGAAGTTGAGGGAAATTTTTTAAGCCTTCAGATGAAAGAACAGCGTATGTTGGCACATACTTCGAGTTCTTTCCAATTTCACAATTTTATTTATAAAAATAAAATTATAAAATCAGTGTAGCTCGAGAAGATACTGTTCTTAAAACCTTCTGTGATGAGGCTTTCTTCACCTCCATAAATTAAATGTTCTATTTTTAGTTTAGATATATAACTTAAAGTACAATTATCTTTCTACTGATTTCCTCTTCTTTGCTGCAAGCTAAATGCACTATTTCATATCTGGAGTTTAACAGGTGAGGAAGACAAATTAAATTCTTACAGCTGTTTAAATATTGGGAGTCAGTTCAGTTTCAGCCATTTCCCATGGCATTCTCCTTCATCCTCCAGTATTGCAAAATGCATTTCAATATGTATTTCTTGAAACTGAAAACAGATCTGCAGCTGTTGCCTTTTAGAAGTGCAAAGAAAAATGCAAGATTGAGGTCGTTTGTGTAATAGAGAACACTTGTGTTAATTTATTTTAGAAATTTTTTTATAGTGACTTGATAATTCATGAGTCAATCTGCATGTGCTAATTATGGGTTTTGGTTGGTAACTGGTGGCCCTTAGGGAAAGTGAAGAAGGAGCTTGAGCATGACGATAACCATTTACATCTGGATGAAACAACTAAGCTGCTGCAGGACCTTCATGAAGCTCAGGCTGACAGAGTGGGGTCCCGGCCATCATCCAATTTAAGTTCTCTCTCCAATACCTCTGAAAGAGACCAACATCATCTTGGTAAAGTTACCTGTGTCACAGAAGTTGCAGTATATCTGCTCTGCTCTAATTGAAACTGGTTAAAACTTACATTTTAACTTACATGAATTTTTGGATGAAACTACTGTGATAAAACTGTGGTGATTGCAGGATTATGCTTTAATTTTTAAATATGCGTGGCAAAGGCAACTGAGAAGACATACTTTTGACCTGTGGAATTAAGGACGCTAATTATAGGTACTTATTTTTTGATGAGGCATGATTGAAGTAGTTGTGAAGTAAATCAATACTGACTAGCAGATCCCTATATGCACTTGCATTTTATGCTTTTAGAAATACTGAGGAGTATATAATGTTTATTTTACTTCAGCATAGTTGTATGCAGCAAGTGACAGGTGGGACACTACCATAGCCTTCCATTGTCAACTGTAAAATTCAGTGATAAACAGGATGATAGGATAACATACCACTTAAAAATTTGGTGCCATTTCTGAGAAGGTAGAAAGCTTTGGAAGTCCAAAAGGAACATGTGAAATAATCGTGCTGTTTATATACGTAAATATCTCTCCATTATTTTTCTGTACTTTTAAAGGTTTTGATTTTCTTTTTCCCCATATTCTACAGGAAGCCCCTCTCATCTGAGTGTTGGAGAACAGCAAGACATGGTTCATGATCCTTATGAATTTCTACAGTCTCCAGAAACCTCAAATGCCACTACTAACTAATCTGACATGTACTATATATATATTTTGTATTTTAATTGTATTATGTTTTTATAAAGTTTCTGTCCATGGCAGAAACCTCAGTTGTGTCCTCTTTTCTGTGAGGATTCCTGTATAATATTACCATATATGCTGGATTAAACAAAAAAAACCCCAGCCCTACTTATTACATCACATTGTTAGCAATGTACTAAAACCTGCTTTTAATTTGTTTTTTGAGGGAGGTTGTTGTCTACTGGTGTGTGAATCTTGACTGAAAAACAACAAATAACATATTAGAAAAATTTGTATTTTATAGAAACTAAAAAGTGATCATTTTCCCAGTATCATGTCAGCAGTCATTAAATGTTTCTGGTAGAATTATCTATCAGTTCTGTTCAGGCCTTGACTTGAACATCTTCAAGGAGGACTATTTTATTTCAGCAGTGACAACTGCATGAATTGTGATCATTATTATGTTTCTCCCAACACTAACTATCTGTGGAAGTTGTTTCCCCATATTTTAAAATCTTTTTTTAATCACTCTAGAGAATACTTAATTTGAGAGTAACAATACTTGGTAGTTGCATTAAAATGCTCACTACAAGAATTCTACCCTGGAGCTAAAAAAGATGGATGTTTTTGTGATCCCTTGTGTCTTCAAACACAATAATGCTTGTATTTTTTATTTTGATGTGTATATTTACTTGGATGGAAAAATACTGGATATGGTATGCTTTTCAGTAATTTTAAAATAACTTTTATATTTCAGTACTGATGTAACTGGGGGGGTTTGTACCATTGATATGTGCAAGCTGGACAAATGTTATGAATTTACAATATTTTGTAAATATTAATAAAAATACAAACCCATTTGTTCTTGCCAGGAGAAAATTTGCTTCCTTATCTTTACTAAGTCTGAAATACTAGGAATTTTTGGCCTAAATTTTTGTGCTGCTTCAAAAGATAAATTTCATCATGCCACATGTAGTGGTAAACAAAATTAACTTAATTTCTAGGAACCAACAAGGAAGTCTGTCAGATAACTGATATCAAAATCTTGATAAAGTCTAAATAGGAAGATCTGTTGACTCAAACTAGGTATTTGTGGTCTGGACTGTTTCCCTCCCCCTCTGAGCTGCTTCTTCCCAGCCCTTTCCTCATGCCACTTCTTAGGAATATGTGTTGTCTGGTTGACTGTTACATGTAATTTTATATTGTCTGCTATGATACTGGCTGCGGCATTTTTCCCCTCTGTGTACTAGTTGCCTGCTCTTTCTGTTGCCACAAGTCATTTGTGGGACTTCTACCTGAACTGGATCAAAAACTTCCAAGTTTCAAACATTGTTCTTTGCTTTCCCTCCTAGTCAGTCAGTTTTGCAAAACTCTTAGGGAAGCAGTGGCCCACCTTGAGGAGTGAGGATCAGGAAACAGGAGCTCTTGAAATCAGTATTTCCTGGCAAAGACAATTTGATAGCAAAGCCTTTGTAATTATGAGCTGTCTCACTCCCCCAAATACCCACTCTCCCAAATACCTCTGAATACAATATCCTTAACATAAAATCCTTCCTCAACAGTTGCTTTTAAGCCTAAAAGCATACAGTCAAGATGAAAATGGAGGAATCGGGGTTCCAACTTCCTGCCATCCTTTTCCAGAATGATGAAAGGCAGAGGTTGCCTTTTTCTTAAGCAGCAGTTTTTCTCTCTTTGGAGGGCTTTCAGGGCTGCAAGAGGATTGCATGAATTTGCACCTAGGTTCAGTTCACCCTTAGTAGCCTTGGTTTTGCTGTAGTGCTATTAATATGCCCTTCTGAACTAATTGTCAGGATAACTGCATTCCCAGTCTTTTATTGTCCTATCAGTAGGCACTACTAAGAAGAATGTGGCTCCCTCTTCCTAACTCCTTCCCATCAGGTATGTGCACACATTTATGAGATCACTCCTAAGCCCCTTCTTCTCCAGGCTGAAGAGTCCCAGCTCTCTCAGCCTCTCTCCATATGAGAGGTGCTCCAATCCCCTCATCATCCTTGTCGGCCTGTGCTAGAATTGCTGCAGTAAGTCCATCTCTCACTTGTGATGGGGAGCCCAGAACTGGACGCAGCACTCCGGATGTGTCTCGCCAGGACTGATGAGAGATGAAGGATCACCTCTCTTGACCTGCTGGCAAAGTTATGCTGTATGCAGCCCAGAACACAGATGGCTGCCTTAGATGTGAGGCTGCTTTGCTGGCTCATGGACAACTTGTAGCCCACCAAGGATGCCAGTGTCCCTCTCTGCAGAGCTGCTTTCCAGCCAGTGGGCTCCCAGGGCAGCTGCAGGACTTTGCATTTCCCCTTGTTGAGCTTCACGAGGTTCCCCTCTGCCCAGTTCTCCAGCCTGTTGAGGTTCCTCTGAATGGCAGCGTGTCGGTCAGGTCCTTCACTTACTCCTCACAGCTTCGTATCATTGGGCCCCAGCTTTCCTAACTCCATCTCTGCATGATCAGCCAGCATCTCTGCGCTCCTCCTGGGTCATCTGCCCCTGCTGCCACCTCCTGTACGTTTCCTTTTTATCTGAGTTCAGTCAGGAGCTCCTTGCTCATCCATGCAGGCCTTCTGCTAGCTTTACTTAATTTTGTACTTGTCAGGATGGGCCATTCTTGAGTTTGGAGAGGTGATCCTTGAATATCGACCAGGTCTTCTGGACCCCCCTTTTCCCTAGGGCCGTATCGCATGGAATTTTTCCAAGGTGATCTCTGCAGAGGCCTGTTCTCCTGAAATCTTGGTCTGTTGGTCCTACTTTTTGCCCTGCTACCTCCTCTTAGAGTTTTTGCTTTCATGCTATGGTGTCTTCCTGTAAATGCCAGACATTGGCTTGGAACCTGTTTGCTGAATGTATTGATACATGAATGGGTGTGCTAAATGCCTCAAGAAAAGCTTGCTTTTTTTTAAATGAAATCTCATCCTCCTGTATTTTAGAGAAAGGTTAGACCCTGAGTTTGTGGCGTCTGGTTAAAAAAAAAAAAAAAAAAAAAAAGGATTCCTAAGGTTTTAAAATAAGCAGTTGAAGTGACTTCTTTCAGTTCGACTTGTGCGTTTTTACTGCTTCTCAAGCTGAAAGAGAATCTCTTGCTCCTGTTCCTTGTGACTGTTTGCATATGTGCCTATCCTTGTGCCAGTGGTGTGCTGTTGCATTTTCCAAATGATTCTGTTTTATTTCAAGAAAAGCTTTAGGAAGAAATTCTGCCAGTCATGTTGCTACTTACTTGAAGGGGAAGGAAATTCCTAAGCCATGTCTCATTTGCTCTTGTGTATGCAGGTTGTAAATTCATATTAAAATATACTGAAAAGCTTTGAAATAATCAGTAATGGCCTGTAATCTTATGGTCCTATATAAACATCAAGAATTTAAAAAACTTGACTTAGTACTATGGATTTATTTAACATGTACCTACCTCCTTGTTTAACTGTAATCCCAGATACATTAGAAAGGGTTGGTTTATGAAGTTTATCTGGTAAACATTTCCTGTTTAGCTCATTTGGAAGAGGACTGCATGTTTATGGCAACACATTTAAATCTGTAATGCATGACCTGCATAAACATAGCTAGGTGGCACCATATGTCAACAAACTTTATGTGAGTTACCATCAGCTTGAATTCATGTTTCTGATGCTGCCATTGAGATAAAGCTGAATTTCCCAGGATGCTTTTTAAACCAACCCAGAGTTTCTATAACAAATTGAGAAAATTAAATGCATTTGTTCTGAATGCACCTAAGTATTTTAAGGAAACACTGAAGCCTGATTTGTAATTTATTTTTTCCTCTAATAACTGCTGTATCAAAAATTGTGTTGAAGTAAGGATGTGAGCAATGGTAAGAGAAATCAGCTTAGTTCTGTTCTTCCCCAAGATAGAAATATGCCAGTGAAAAATAAAAATTGTATAAATGACTGTGAATTTTTCTTTTTTTTTATAGACACCTATCATCAGTATCATGATTCAGCCATCTTCAGCAGCAGCAAAAGGAATGTTGAAAATGTATTTCACACGTTTGCGAACATCTTTATAAACACGGATTCAGTATAACGCAACTTTCCTCCAGTCTGTTTTGAGACTGACAAGTATAGGGACAGATTTTACATGAAAAAATTAGGAATAAATAAAAAAAAATATTTCTGATGTGCCTATTTTGCTCTTTATTTAAAAAAAAAAAAAAAAGAAAAGAAAAACCACAAGGACATTTCTAAAGGCATGTAGTTCTTTGCTTTCTTGCAGATGAATTGCTATGACAAGAGATGAATGCAGACAAGACCTGAACAGCTAATCAGCAGAAGTAACCTGATTTCTTCACCCCTACATTCCAGAGTGAATGTTTGGTCTTCACCACACCACTCCTTTTTGAGTTTGTTGCTTTGCTGCTTTTTATATACCTGGCTACAGTAGGATTTGGAATCTACATACCATTACTGCCACGTGGATGGAAATCTGCTGGTTTTTCTGTATCTTTTTTTTCTAATCTTTTACCATTCTGCTTGAGATATGTTTTATTATAAATGTTAACCTCTGTCCAAATAAGGGGAGAGGAGGAAAATAGCCCCACCCGCCTCACTAACTATGCTACTAGAAAGGGCTAGGGCATCTCCAAAGAGATGACATTTATTCTGAGTGAGTTTAAACCTTCACTTGAATGTTGCAGAACTGGGTTTATGTAGATTAGTTTGGTTTACATTGGTTCCCATCTTGCAGGAGAGTATGTGTGTACATAGCTCTGTGTGTGTAAATGTTATAGTTAATAATGTTTTGAAAGGTCCTTTAACTAGGTGGTGGCTGAAAGAAAAGGGGCACAGGGCGGGAGAGGGAGAAGAGCCACAGTTGTTTGAAGGCCAGGAGACAATGTATTGCAGTTGAAAGATTTTTCCTAGACTGATCAAAAATGACTAGGAGATGTCTTAATCACAGAAAGTACCCTCCTACAGACAAATACTGGTCTTTGAACTAATAAGACGGGGGGGGCGAGAGGGGGCTTTTTTTTTTTTTAAGTCATGGCTCTGTTTGACACTGTCTCCCACGGCATTCTCCT